ATGTTATCGAATTATGGCTTAGAAGGTACAGATTACAAAATATATACAAATTACATATACAAAATGTTTTGCTCATTCACTAGCGAATCAGCAATATGAGGTGGATCCTCAATAATATTTAAAAATGTAAAGATTTCTTGATAATTTAAAATGTAAAGTACCTAAAGATAATATGTTACTGCCCTTTGAAGTTATATAATTATCACGTGTGGAATTGTATAAAATTGTTGCTGTCTTTTTTTCGTAGGAGCAGGAGCAAACGACCATGCGATTCACTTGATGGTAAGTGACTACCGCCGTCCGTGAACATAATCAACAACAGTGGAATTGCAAGTGCATTGCCGGCCTTTTCAAAAGGAGTGGACTCTTTCTTGAAAGTCCCTAAATCGTATCGATCCGGAAAAATCTTCGGTGGTAGCTGGTTCCACAGAGAAGTTGTGCGAGGAACAAAACTTCTTTTAAATGGCATAGTAGTGGACCGCCAGTCATCCAGATGGTATGGGTGGTATCGTAAGTTTCATCGCGAATAAGTTCGACCAATTTCTTAGAGCACCCTTGTAGTAAATGCGATAAAATACGCAAAGAGATGCAAGATCTCTTTGTAGTGCCAGTGAGTTAAGCCGATCGGAAAGTGCTCGGTTGCTGCAGATTAGAACGGTTCTGTGCTGGATGCGATCAAATGGATGGTGCTGGCACTGGGGAGCCCCAGCCCAGAGATTGGAACAGTATTCTACGTGCGTTCGACGTACTGTCCCGCTCTGCTGAGGCTGCTTTTTAGAGGCCAATTTGGCCTTCTCTTCCAAGTGACCACGAAACTGCACGTCACTCGTATGTCGACGACAAGGGTTCCGATACTGGCTGAGGCAACAAGAGGAGTGCCTTGAAACTGACGAGATACGACGTAGGGTTTTTTAGCGGTAAACGCCCATGCTTGTGTCTTTTGATAATTGAACTGGACTAGATTTAATCGCCCCCAGTCCGAGACTTTGTTCAACAAACTACATAATTTCTCGGGAAGCCTATAGTAAGGAAGCTTCGTAAGAAGCGCTTTGTGTCAAGCCCAATCGAAGGCCTTCACTATGTCCAAACTAAGAGCCAACGCCTCCCCTTTGGACTCTACTGCCTTCGCCGATCTATTAGTTAAGGGGAAATATAACCTCAAATGGCTTAGCAAGATCCTCCGTTATGCCGAAAGTATTGCAGCATTAATTTTGAAATAAATATATGGTAAAGTTGAGGATTAATGTTAAGGTTTATTCATAAACCGACGTCTAACGACGAAAACACGATTCCGTAAAATTTTCTCGATAGAAAAAAAAATCCAAAGTTACCTCCAAACTGAACAATAAACCGCTGTTATTCATAAAATACTTTAAATAAGATCATGAAACTTTGCATACTAACTGAACTAACCATAAAGCAGTGCTTATGTTATTTACTTTTTTTAAAATACCATTATTTTCACTGTAAAAAGAAATTACCTAAACTATCGGCGCGTAAGCTTGGTTCCTGCGGAGCGACAGGAACCAAGCTAACGGAGGATCTTGCTAAGCCATTTGAGGTTATATTTCCCCTTAAGTAACCCAGACAATCACCAGTTCCCTCCCTCCAGATAACTCCCTCTTGTTTGTTAGAAAAATAATAAAGTGGTTGTATGTGGACTCTACAATATTAATATTTAAGAATATTCTGAAAATACAATTACTTTTACAACTTTTCAACGATAATTTAGTTCAACCACTTACTATAGCCAACAATATGGCCTCTACAGTGACTCTTACATAAGTTAAGTAAATTACCTCCAATTTAAGATTTTCTTCTGTATCGTGGGATCAGTTTACATTTATAAAATTCACAAGGACAAAGAGACCTGAAAATTTATTTGGAGGCCATAGAAATACTTGTTCCTGCGCAAAAGGCAATTATTAGCAAAGACAAAGCCACCATATGTGATAGAGATACAACTAGTTTGATTTATGTTAACTATTTTATAGTATGGTGTCCTAGGTATTATGTTGTGAGGATTGGCACTGATGCTATAATACTTAGTGAATATCCCAATCTAACTTCACATTCATATGAATAAGAAATCATTTATTTAAAAACTTTTTGAAAGGCTTTGATAAAATGATTAATGTACAGATGTTCAATATTTACGAGCGTAGAAACTTGTTAAAGCGATGACATGGTTTTTTGACTTTTAAAAAATAATTTGTATAAGCAAAATATAAATAAAAATATTTTGAATTTAGAATTTGACTATGAAGCTTAAAGTCTCATCCTAAATCTCAGTAAATTTGTGTGATGGATTATGACGGTGGGAGATAACAATTATGCTACCATGGTAAAAATAGTGATAAAGGCATATCTCATTATTTTACTTTATTTTTAATATCTTCTTCATCTTCACTAGTCCAGAAGTCTACTTCTAGTCATGAGTCATTTCTCTTGAATGGAGGACTTGCCTACATCACGTACGGCAGGCAATCGGTCGACCATAGTACCATTTGCCTCGCACCTTTGTTGCTGCTCTTTTATCCACAACTATTTTTGTTAAGGACTAAAATGTAATTTTTCACAGCTTATAATTTTACTAGCTGCCTATATACTTCATTCATGAACACAGCAATGCAAGCACTGCTGTCAGAAATAGAGAAGAGGGTAGATGAAGTTTTTAATGTAACTATTTAGATAACGTTCTAGTTGTTTATAATAAATATTAAAACCTTTAATTCTAAGACGTCAATATTTTAATTAATTTCGTCTACAATACTTGTAGAACCCCTACAAGTAGGAACAACCACAGAGTTTCCAAAAATTTTAATTCACTAACCTCGTAAATTGCAAATTTGTGTTTGACTGCTATGGCACTTTAAGATGACTTACTTTCACTATAAAACTAATGTAAATATAATATCGTGAGAAAGAGAATACAAATTATTTGTAGCCTTGCATGTTTTAAAAGTCGTCTGAGTATCCAAGGAACTAAGGAACGATTAACACCGAAATATCCGTTGCATTAAACATCCAGACCAGTGGAAAGTAGTAGTGTCGAAGCTGCAAAACGTAGCGATTACGGAAAATTACCACTGCTTAAGAAATTATATTGTTCAAGAGTGGACTGACACACGCTTTAAATATTTTATGTCAATTTTTATTTCCTGAACAATAAAAATTGACATAAAGTAAAAGCTCAATAAGAAGAATCAATTTCAAGAAACTCTTAGACATGATGTTCAAAATTGAAAAACGTGTATGTATCAGAATATCAAGTATTACCAGGATTACTGTTTTAAATATAATGCGTCACGTGTATTATCATCACATTTATGATATGATTTTCTTATTTGTAAAACTAGTCTTACTCATTGTAACAGATATGTTTTTATATACGGGCATACGCTTGCAGTATTAGACTGTTTAGTATACTAAGTATTTTCCACATAAAATTTATATAACACTAGATATTAATTTTTATTTACAAAACTAACTTAATAAGATTTCTTTAGCGTGGATTTTATGTAAATGTTGCGGCTAATTTGACTGAAATAAAAAATTAAAACTTACAGACTCAAATTAGGCTTAGTTTAGAGCGTAGGCTATAGTTATCATTTTTATGCTAATTGCGATTTAAGCAACCCGGGTTTACTTGTAATTACCCATATTTTTAAGTAAAGTTTGTATTATATATATTTCACAACCTTTACCTACTGTCGCTGATATTAATGCCTGTAAGATGTAGTCCGTATCACGAAGGCAAGGCCTAATTTCAGCCAGAAGTAACCACTATGCAAAAAATAACATCAGATTGATGTTATTTTTTTAATAGTGGCTATTTACTACACTGCGCTCAAAAATCTAAAACTAAGATTAAACGGCTAGTTTTATGTTATTATTGAACTAATAATTATTAGACGTTACGTATTAAATATTGGAACTATAACATGCAGGTTTTGTAATACCAGCTGTGACTTTAAATGTTGCAAAAGTATAAAAGGCAAAGCTCATTAGAATGTTTTTATTCACAGCAAACGTGTACATTGAGTGCTAAAAGTTTAAAGTAACAATTTCATTGCTATCAGCACCTGTGTTCTTACGCAGTTATTTTCTATGATTCAAGATAATACCGTAATCCTTCATATTAATTTTAACTATTGAAATGGACTACAAAATCAATTCACAGTATTCTAAAAATTATCAGAGCTGTATATATAGAGTGATATACTTTGTAAAAGTTCATTATGTTGAAACAAAATCTTCTCCGCAGCCGTGTAGTGGTAATATAAGAACATCCACTACCTCATATAATCCCGTGGGTATAGTAGAAAGTGTAAGGGGAAACAAGTCAGAATATGGGCAGCAGCGTCTTTCAGTAAAGACTAAAAAAAAATAAGCTGCGGTTGCAAATCCGCTTGCCACGCGTGGCAACTATGGCAAATATCCACCCTGTGAGGCAATCTATGTGGAGAGCCTATGTTCAGTAGTGGTGTTTAATAGGCAGTAACGTTAACAGTAGTCTTCTCAACCCCAGGTTCCAGTATTAATGCATACAGCTGCAAATTAATTTCTATAATTATTCTCTGATGAATAGGGTGATTATCCGTAACCTTGCTCTCACAGAATAGCAGCTTAATGCTGCCGTTTATCTTATGTTGAGTGTAGAGAAACAGGGACCTTTATACTGGTAACGAGGAATTATGTCTTAGACTTGGAGGTTGCAACGCGTCTACTTTTCGATTAATAATTCATAATAGATGAAAATATCTACGAAATGCAGCATCCACTTACCATGAAGTGAAATAAGTAAATTTGTTATATATTAAAATCTTTAGTTATAAAACGACATCGTTCTCATATTATAAAAGCAAAACTTATTTATGCTTATTTCTAGACTTGATTATTTATGTTTTTGATGATTTTATCAATTGATGATTATGGCTTTATGAAGCTCTAATTATCAAAATTGTTGAAGCTTAAACGCTTAATAACCAAAGACTGACTTGATGTAGAAAATTAACAAAGCATTTGTAGATTTTCTCTCCGAAATTAGTTGCATGATTATAAGATACAGTAGCCATTTACAATAGTTATTTAATAGATTAGTTTTGGTGTAATATTAATAAAAGAGGACATCAGTTTAAAAAAAATTACTAATCATATTATAAATATTAATATATTAAATTGTATTTTTGAAAGGCCAATAAATTATGAATTTAGAATTTAATGTATAGTATATTTCAAATCGACATATCTATAGAATAATTAAATATTGTTAAAATAATTATATATCGAAGCAAATATATAATCTTCCTGCCAAAGTAATATTGTATCTTTCGGCTTGATTATTTCATAGCGTGACCGCTTTTATGAAGGACTACTTTTATAAACGATATTTATTTATTAACTAGTCAGAGACAAGATAATCTGATTCTCGAACTGTTATTGATTAATATGAGAGAAAAACCTGAACACTTAATATATAAATAAAGTCAACATATTGTTATACTAAATAGGATCTGGGTTAATCAATTATACCCACCCATCCATAGTCACGTACCAACTCTAAAGTATATTTATAATGTCGTAGATATAACATACGTTAATTAAATTCGATAAAATCCATGAAACTATCTTCATTCGTTTAATTAATCAATCCATTTATATATTGTTTAACATACACCAGAACGTAAACAGAATAAATAATAAAAATAATAAAATATATATTACTACTTACTACTTAGATGGGGAACAAAAATTTATTGATCACGTCAATAACAAAATCAGGACAGCATTTTTCAAGCTGATAACGCTCTACAAAATCAGACCATATCTTAAGGAGGATTTACGGATACTTTTTTGTGATACTCTGGTGCTATCTCAGTTTAATTACTGCAGTTCCACCTTTGGTCCAAGACTAAAGTTTAACACAGAGAGGGCAATACAAAGAGTGCAAAATGCCTGCGTTCGTTTTTGCTTTAACGTGCCCAAAAGAGAATCTATTACCCCGTACTTAAAAAAAGTGCTTACTCAACATCGCAGTGCTAGAAGGGAACTTCAGTACGCTTGTACAGTGCATTTGAAAAACTCCTATGGATCAAAGACATTTCACATAGAAGCCTCCGTACGAACTTATTAAACTTGTTAAGTATGCCAAAACATAAAACAACTCGGTACAGAGGATGTTTCAAATTTGTTGCAGCAAGGATATGGAACGACTTGCCCCCTCCTCTGAGAAATAAAATGAGTACGGAAAGCTTCAAAGTTAAATATAAATCAACATTGCTGAAACGGCAAATTGCTGCAGAAAATTTGAAACATGCCTACTGGAAATACATAAACTTAAGAGACGTTTTTTAACATTTTAGTATCACCCTTAAAAACATCCCCATGTATTATAAACTGAACAATCACGCGCATACATACATACACACACACAAACACACACACACACACACACACACACACACACAAAACACACACACACACACACACACACACACACACACACACACACACACACACACATACGCGCGCTCACGCACGCACGCACAAATGCAAGAAATATTAGTAAATAATTATGAAATTTCACAACCGTACTATGTCAGATTGAAATAATATGTTAAATTCCAGTACCTAACATGTTATGTACTGGATTAACAATAACATCTCAGGGAGGAAGGAGTGCCTAAAAACCAGCGCTTCATGGAGTCTTAGTTCCATGTAAGCAAAAGCGGAGTCACCTCCGTTTGCCTAAATTTAATCAAGGTTAAGTTATTACTTTATATGTAAACATATTTTTTAAAAGTGGCAATAAAGTGATATTTATTATTTATTTATTTACTATATACGGTCGTATCGTTTTGAAAACGATATTTTCTAGAGAGCCTTTTACGCAATGAAACGTCTTTATATTCTTAATAATTGTAAGAATAGTTTCTTTACAATAATGAAGAATTTATAGACGTTTTTATTATTTGTTTTGTCATTAAGTTAGTTCCAATTATTCATAATATTTTTTGTTCGTAAAACTAAAATGTTGTATATTACGCTCTGACCCTTGATCCGAATAGATAATCATACACTTCATAAAACAAGGTAATATAAAAATATTCTTCACAGGCAAGAAGCTATGCTTTCGAAATGATTTTAATTTGAAGTTCGGATTTACAGTGAGTTTACGATAGAGAATCACATTGTGAAAAAACCTATATGTCGAAGAAACAAAACATTTCAAGGACGTGCGAAGTTTGCCAGCATGCCCAGGAGCAGTGGACTATCGTTGCTGAAGTTAGGGGGGCTCGGACGTACTCGTATATATGTTGAAACTTTATTTAACATAACATAAACACTCACGCCTGTCACCCAGAGGGGTAGGCAGAGACTACAGATTTCCATTTGGCACGATCCTGACACACCTCTCTCGCCTCCTTCACATCCATACACCTACGCATACATGCTCGTCGGTTAAGGGTACTCCTAATTTGGCCCGTTTCCAATAAATCGCCTATTTGGTCGATAAATTTTCGCCTAGGACGTCCCTTTCCGACTCTGACATTCACTTCTGCAACATAAATTTTCTTTGTCACTCTTTCCCCATTCATTCTTTCCACATGACCAAACCACCGAAGCATTCCTTTCTTAATCCTGGTCACAACATCATCTTGCAAACTACACTCTTCTCTTATTACATAATTTCTTACCCTGTCACTAAGATTCAGCCTTTATTTACTTTTATTCAGAACTTTATTTACTTTTCTTTTAGTCTTCTAAATGTTGTTACTAAGATGTAATAATTTATAAAATATGCCAGCTAAACACAAATTATAAACGGGATCTGGGTTTTATCTGCGTATTTCTCGTTTAAATGACTCAGTGGAACACGGCAAGAAAGTTAGATAGGTTAGATAATAGAAATTAAAGTGATAATTTAAATCAAATCATAAGTACATTAAAACCTTAATCAATACCTAATAAGAAAAAAAAAACCTTGCTTATTACAGATCTATTCCTGCAAGCCGTCTTCAAAGAAGGCAAATACAAATAGCAAAAGGAATTTTCATAAAATATGAGATCTGAAAGTTATTAGTCTTAATATTTGATCAAGAAACAGAAGCACTTTGAGGTATTAGAAGCGATGCTTAATGCATTTGAAAAAGTTTGTATTAAAAATTTAAAGAACAATAACCATAAAATATCAATGATACCACTTAAAACAAATGCAAATTAAAATGGTAAACCAGCAGCTGAAGCTTACAATAGGAACAGCTGAGCTGTAAACTACTCAGTACTCAGTACTCTTTTAGTGTACAAATTAAAATACAAATTAAGCTCATGAAAGGTAAAGGAAAAAGAAAAATTTGAAATTTTTTTATCATTTTTAAGGAAAACAAGATACCACTTTGTGTGTGTGTGTGTGTGTGTGTGTGTGTGTGTGTGTGTGTGTGTGTGTGTGTGTGTGTGTGTGTGTTACTATTTCACGCTGGTATTCTGTGAGAGCGTGATCCATCACCGGTCGAGCCGACCCATTCTTGCTACAACTATACTTCTAATATAACTGCAGCGTGGCTTTACCACGTATAAAAATGTGTGTGTGTGTGTGTGTGTGTTGTTCCGTTGTGCTATAATCAAGACTTTGTAGCCACTCAATAATATTTTGTTTACACTCATATTAACTTTTATTTTTTATATTAAATAAATTATTTAACTTGTTGTACAAAAACGGTCCAAGAAATTGATAAAAACTAAATGCCAAATGAAATTTTTAGGTGCATCGATCGAGTAATATCTTTATGTTGTTGACGATTTGACAGTTGGCCGTTTACTTCGCTAGAAGTAGTAGCAGTTTTATATATTTTAGCATGCTGTTTTAATAATGCAATAAAAAATCTCTTACTGTCAAAACTTGGATGATTTGTACAAGTCGGAAGTTGGATGTCGAAACTGCTGTACTAAAGGTGCTTAATTTGAGTTCTGCCCTTTGAAAACGCTCTATTAAAATCATGCAGGTATTTGCGGCTCTACCCCAAATAGAAATACAGCAGATAAGTATTGATTGATAAAGTGTAAAATAAATAATTTGGACTACATTAGGTTCAGCTACATTTCACAAGCGCCTAGACACAAATATTATGTTTCGAACCCTACTAGACAACATGATTGTGAGCGAAACTATCATCAACAATTATTCCCAGACATTTTAGACAATGGACCCTTTCTAGGCTAGGACAATCACAGTTTGTTTTAGAAGACAGAACGCTATCAGAATCAATGTGGGATATTATTTTAAGATTAGGAGGCAGTTTTGGAGACCGAATATTAAATGTTGATGAGCTTTGTTTTATGAACATCGAGCATGAGATTATTTTGTGTTATGTATGTTATGTAATAATAATAATAATAATAATCTTTATTGATAAACATATTACATGCACCAAATTTACAGTGGTCATTAGCCCCTAAACTAGGATATAATACCTATATTTCAGGGGCTAGTTTCCTTCCCTATTCTTAGTTCTATTTCTATAATTTGTTTATCTATGTATTATATTTATAATATTTATTTATTATATAATATTAACAAGTATTATTAAAAATGTAAAATTTATGACAGTAAAAAGGGGGGAAAAAAAATAAAATAAAATTATGTTGGCACTATTGCAAATGTGTGTGTGTGTGTGTGTGTGTGTGTGTGTGTGTGTGTGTGTGTGTGTGTGTGTGTGTGTCGCGCGTGCGTGCGGGCGTGCGTGCATGTGTGTGTGTGTGTGTGTGTGTATGTGTGTGTGTGTGTGTGTGTGTGTGTCTGTATTAGCGTGTGTTGCTTACATGTCCAAAGAAAGAAGGCTCTCCGTACCTTCATAATCAAAAATTTTCAGCCAGTCTGTAATTTTGCTTTTCACTTCAAAGTTGTTTAGTGATCTTATGTTATGACATCTGTTAAGTTTATTATATAGCCTAGGGGCTAAAAAGTCAAAATGTCTTCTAAACACAGCACTTTTCGGTTTTGGAACAGGACATCGTTCTTTTCTCTTATGACTTCGTATTAGTTTAGGGACAGTGACGCGATGATACCTCCTTAAAC